ACAGAACATACCTGGACAATTTTCCACTTTGCTGGATAGATGCCAGTGTTGCAGCTGTACTTGAACTGCATTGTGAGCTATGAAACACAGGGCTTCAGTTATTGTTAGTCTCAACAACAACTGTGCTTTTTCCATTCCTTAACACCAGTAGTATTTGCAATATTTATAGAAAACCTGCATTCCCCCCAACAGCCTTCACCAGTCCACATTTAGATACACTAAACTAAAATAATGTCATAACTATGCAAGCTGTTAACCAAAGCACGACTACTACAGAATAGAAAAATCTTTCAGACTTTAAACACAATATGTTACTTTTAAAATGCATCAAAAGTGTTGTAAACCTTTTATCACATTTAGCAGTTGACTTCAGTACCAAGCACTCCTTCCTACAAGTGGCAAAAGCCAGATGCAAGTAATATTGCTTCCAATTTTCACCAGCTACATCATCCAACACTAACCTTATAAGAGTTACCTCCAGCACAGAAATGATTTTTCACACATCAGCAGGTACTACTACTTGTATACAAGCATATGGATACTTGCTATTCACCTAACTCTACAGAACTTCACCACAGGTGGCAACAAAGACAGGTCAGGTGTTTGGATGCTGGATTGCAATGCAGACTGACACCAATGGCACACACCCAATTCCTCTACTACGTAAGGTCATCAATGAAGAACATGTTTCTTCACCCAATTCCTCTACTGCTTAAGGTCATCAATGAAGAACATGTTTCTTCCTGAGGTCACATGAGGCACAAATAGGTTTTTAAACAACAAATCTAATTTTCATTGGCATTTCTCTGTTGTCAGTTCACAAATGAATTGATTTAAATCAACTCAGTAACATGCTATAGTGGACTTTGACCTAATACCGTCTAAACCGACAATACTTTACCCAATAAGTGATCATACCCAACTAGGATCACACTGTGTATTGGGTTATTCACTGGGATTTCAAGTGGAAAGCATTGCAGATTCAGTGACATGTCTACCCCTCCAGAATTATTCATTCACTTTACCTAGGTATCAAATTATTCTGTCTACTATAAAATTCTGACCTTGCTCCAATCTCCCATTACTAAATTTTTGTCATTGAGCCAGCCTGACACCAAAGAATTCCTAGTTATATTCACCCCAGAGATGATAACTTGAAGAAAACTGGTAACAGCTCTAAGTGGGACCTGTGTAGCATGACTGCCTCCAGCTCATAGGCAGTGGATGCAGAAGCATTGACACTGATAGCAGCAGGAAAGGAGCACATTGCCAGGACCTTGGGGATGATGTCGGGAAGGTGGTGAACAGAGGGGCAGAGAGGGTGAAGGATATGGACAGGGAATGATGAACTTTTAAAGCTGTTTCAGTTTCAGTATTTTCAATTTAGTATTAATTTATTCAGTACCATTTCTACAATTTATTCAGTAATTTATTCTGTAATCCAAAATGACACCAGCACATGGCAATATTACACACTTTTCACTGTACCTAGGTACAAGTGACAACATTAAATAAATCCAATCTCAACTCGCATGGATAAACTTCTATCCCTCTGTATACAATGTGACAAGTTGATGGTATGCAATTTCAGCAGCAACTGGCTGCATTACCATAACTCAATCACTGCAGGCTTCTGGACACATGACTGTTATATATATCTGGTCAGCACCTCACAGCAGCAGTCGTTCAATCCAAACCATAGACCTTCCTCATCAGATATCTCTGTCTTCTGGAAGACCTGGTGAATAATTCTCAGTTGACCAGACAACTTGATGTTGTTTCAGAGATAGTAGGAACTGCAGATGCTGGAGAATCTGAGATAACAAGGTGTAGAGCTGGATGAACACAGCAGGCCAAGCAGCATTAGAGGAGCAGGAAAGGTGAAGTTTCGGGCCTAGACCCTTCTTCAGAAAAGGACCCTTTTAATCTTGTAATCTCAGACTTGATGTATTGGATATTCCAAATCTCATGCAACATACAGCATGACAGAGTCAAGGAATCCTCAAGCATTCCAAAGGCCATTTCATCCATCACATCTATATTAGAAAATCTTGCCAATTAGTCTCCCTGTCTTACCTTTTTCCATAGTCCCACATTTTTTTTCCAAACATACATATACTATAGTACAGTACAGTACAGTGATGGGCTTCATTTACAACTTTTTGCGATGAACAAGTGCATGTCGGTTTCCAGTGGATCTACAATGACTTATCACTGTGGAAACATTAATGAATAGCTGCCACGCTTTTTTTTGGGAGTGTGTGTGATGTAGTGGTCATGTCACTGGAGTAGCAATCCAAAACCCCAGGCCAATGCTCTGGTAACATGAGGGCAATTTCCACACAGCAGATGATGAATTTTGATTTCAATTTTTAAAAATCCTGGAATAAAAGCTGCACAACAGCAACTGGGTTACGATTGTCAATGTCGTAAAAATGCGACTGGTTCATTCATGTTGCTCAAGGAAGGAAACCTACTGTCCTTACTTGGTCTGGCTTACATGCGATTCCAGACTTACTGTAATGCAGTTGACTCTTGATTGCCATTTGGGCCCAGCCAGCAATGCCCACATCCTGTGAACAAATTAAAAAAAAAAGACACCACCAGGGTCTTCCGGCATAGTAAAAACCAAAAGAACTGTGGATGCTGTAAATCAGGCACAAAAACAAAGTTGCTGGAAAAGCTCAGCAGGTCTGGCAGTATCTGTGGAGG